TCTCAGGAACATGTTAACCAAAAAAAAAAAGCAGTCACATAATAAATACTGTATGGCTCCATTTATACAGAGTTCAAAAACATGTAAAAAAAAAAAATAAACGTATTATTTAAGAATAAAAACTGGTAAAATTATAAAGAAAAGCAAGGAAATAATAGACACTGATTCAAGGCAGAGATTAACTCTGGTGAAGAAGAAAAGATGGAGTCAGTGAAGGGCATACAGAAGCTTTAGCAGTAAACGGAATTTTCCTTGTCTTAACTAGGTGGTATTAATTGAATTGTGAATCTTTATGCCTTACATATATTTTAGAAAAATTCTTTCATATCTACTCAATTTTTAATAAAAACACTTTTTTTAACAAAACAACAGAAGGCGATGAATAAGAAGCCGAGGAATATATAAAATTATCATCCAAGGCAATGAAGAGAGCAGGATTCTTGGTTATGTAAATAGAAAGGTGCCTGGATGAAAGTAAGAATGTAGATTCTGAAAGACTAATTATATGTGTGGAAACAGAATCTGAGAGAGGGACCAGAGAGGGTGGAATTGTGTGAAAAAGACCTCAACACATGTCCTTCAAGTACAGAGACAGAGGTAATACAGGTCTTTAAAACTCTGCAATTTCTATGAGAAGCCTAAGGAGCTTCTTTCAGGACTGACTCCCAAAAGCCATCCATCTCAAGACAGATACCAAGATGGCTCACCTGTGCTCTGGAAAAACGATGCTAGGATCACAGCCCAGAGAAAGGAGAAGACAAGGGATGAATGCAGAGAAATACTATTGGGGGAATAAAAAAAAAACAAAACACCAAAAAACCCAGATGCCATCGAACCCATTCCAACCCATGGTGATCCATGTATTGCAGAGCAGAATTGCACTTTATAGGGTTTTCATGGCTGTGACTAAAGTCTACAGTATGGATTACACCTCAACATAAAAGAAACAAAAATCCTCACACTGGGCCAATAAGCAACATCATGATAAACGGAGAAAATATTGAAGTTGTCAAGAATTTCATTTTACTTAGATCTACAATCAACACCCACTGAAGCAGCAATCAAGAAATCAAAAGACGCGCTGCACTGAGCAAATCGCTGCAAAAGACCTCTTAAAGCGTTAAACAGCAAAGACGTCACCTTGAGGACTAAGGTGCGCCTGACCCATGCATGCAAAAACCGGACAATGAATAAGGAAGACTGAAGAAGAACTGATGAATCTGAATTATGGTGTCGGCAAAGTATACCGCATATACTACGGGCTGCCAGAAGAACGAACACATCTGTCTTAGAAGTACAGCCAGAATGCTCCTTAGAAGTGAGAATGGCAAGGCTTTGTCTTACATACTTAGAACACGCTATCAGGAGGGACTAGTCCCTGGAGAAGCACATCATGCTTAGTAAAGTACAGGGTCAATGAAAAAGAGGAAGACCCTCAATGAGATGGACTGACACAGTGGCTGCACAACAATGGGCTCAAACATAGCAACGATTCCGAGGATGGCACAGGACCAGGCAGTGTTTCGTTTTGTTGCACAAAGGGTTGCTCTGAGTCATTCTGACTGGATGGCACCTTAAGACAACAATGTGGCTGTGAACTTTTGGAAGCAGATCACCAGGTCTTTCTTCTGAGGCACCTCTGGTGAGTTAGAATCACCAACCTTCCAGTTAGTAGCCGAGTGCTTTACTATTTCCACCACCCAGGGAAATAGGATCAAAGATTCACTCCCAATGGAGGTAGAGTCAGAGTAGGAAAAAGATCACATTGAAAAGAACAAGGTCTAGAGATTTGGGAAGGAGAGAGTATACTGGTTTTAGACTAGGAGTTTAACAAACTCTAATCTGGTTAAGTGTTAATGTACCCAGCCTCAGGGATCAAATTGTGATTAGCCCAATTCTGGAAATCCTATTCTCCTTTACAAGTGAATGGTCTAAGGGTGGCAAACGACCCAATGAGATGTAAGGGGAAGTCTATTGGGAAGCTCCTGGGAAGGGTTTTCTCTTCAATAAAAAGGGGGGCAGGCAGCAGAGAATGATCCATTTTGCCCCTGCCCACTTCCTCCCTACTTTGGATGCTATTGTGTGAGGACATGATACTTGGAAATGAGACAACCATCCTGTAACTTCAAGGCAACAAACCTGAGCATGAAATCAAACAGGCCAATCCATGATGGCTAAGCAGAAGGATAGAATCAGCCTGGATCCCTGATGACATGGCCAAAAAATCCCAAGATCATCTACCTTTAGACTTCTTATTAATGATATTGTTTAGGAAGGAAGAAAGGACAGATAGAGAAATACAGACTCTGGAATCAGAAGATCTGGGTTGGAATCTAAGCTTGCCAGTTAATAGCTATGTGGCTTTCAGCAACATAGTTTAACCTCTCTGGGTTATTTTCTCATTTGTAAGTTAGGGTTGCTATGAGGATCACCTGAAATAACAGGAAGACCTAGGCCTGGCACCTAGCAATCTTCAATAAATGTTAATTTCTCCCTCACTTCAAGACTGGATCAATTTTTTAATATCTCAGTATCATCCATGGAGGTTAACATAGTCCCTGGGAAATGACAAGAACTCAATGAAAACTTGTTGAATGAAAGAAATAGGGCTTGAGGTGACTCCTGAAGATGAGGAATATTTGACTGGACAGAGTAAATAATCCTCTGTCAGGTCGAGGAAGAATCTGATCAGGCTGACTTACTGGGTTCTGAGGGCTGAGTAGCAGGAAAGGAGGCAGGCTGGGGACAGATCAGCATGGCGGAAATGTACAGCAGGCTGCTCCTGAAGGTCTTGGTGCTTACTAGTCCATAGCTTTTCTCCTCTATGTCATTCAAGTTTCATCTCTGTTTAAATGCTAGCCTGCTCGCGTTAAGTCCTTGAAAACCTTTGCCGCCTTTTATGTTTATCATTCCCAGGTGCCCCTTCACACCTGAAAAAGCTCTCTGGTCTCAAGGTCTGTTTGCTCCTCTGTCCACTTTCCCCCCTTGCTTCTCCAGCTGCCTCCAGTGGCTTCAGAGATATGACAGAAGACTCACCTCCTTTCTGTCTCTGGAATGGTGAGCAAGTATACTGCTGTTGCTTGGTTACTGAAGCTGTCAGCTGACTTTTTTTTTTTTTAATTTTATTGTTGTACTTCAAGTGAAAGTTTACAATGCAAGTTAGTCTCTCATAAAAAAATTCATACATTGTTATATGACCCTAATTGCTCTCCCTATACTATGACAGCACACACCTCCTTTCCACCCGATCTCCCATGTCCAGTCAACCAGCTTCTGACCCTCTCTGCCTTCTCATCACACCTTTGGAGAGAAGCTGCCCATTTAGTCTCATGTATCTACCTGAGCTAAGAAGCACAGTCCTCATGAGTATCATTTTATGTCCCATAGGCCAGTCTAATTTTTGTCTAAAGAGTTGGTCCAGAATGGTTTTAGTTCTGGGTTGACAGAGAGTCTGGGGGCCATGCTTTCTGGGGTTCCTCCAGTCTCAGTCAGACCATTAAGTCTGGTCTTTTTACTAGAATTTGAGTTCTGCACCCCACTTTTCTCTGCTCCATCAGGGACTCTCTGTTGTGTTCCCTGTTAGGGCAGTCATTGGTGGTAGCTGGGGACCATCTAGCTCTTCTGGTCTCAGGCTGGTGCAGTCTCTGGTTTATGTGGCCCTTTCTGTCTCTTGGGCTAATATTTTCCTTGAGACTTTGCTGTTCTTCATTCCCCTTTGCTCCACGTGGGTTGGGACCAATTGATGCACCTTAGATGGCCACTCGCTAGCTTTTAAGACCCCAGAAGCCACTCACCAAAGTAGGATGCAGGACATTTTCTTAATAAACTTTATTATGCCAATTGACCTAGATGTCCCCTGAAAGCATGGTCCCCAGGCCCCCACTCCTCAGCAGAGACTTCTAACAACAGGCTCTTATTTTCTAAACTTAAGGCAACATGGACCCATAGCCCCTCTATTTTCTAATTTGGACTCTTGTAACAGCCTCCTAACTAGCCTCCCTGCTTCTATTCTAGTCCCACTGATCAATACCCATGTCTTTCCCAGTGAGTTTTCTAAAATGTATGCCTGCTCCTGTCTCTCTTTCATTTGAAACCCTTCGCTTTCTCCTTAATGCCTTCCAAAGAAGTTCAAACAGGGAACTCCTGGGCCAAATTTGGCCCACAGACGTACTGATGTGTTTTGTTTGTGCATAATATTAAAAAAAAACCTTGGGCCAACATTAAACCTGAAATTTTTTTTTACATGATAATCTTAACTTCCAGCTTCTCTTTAAAAAACCTGGAAGATCAGGCAAAAATCAGCTGGATGAGTCTAAAGGTTCACCCTTTTAGATCTAGTCCGTGCTCTCTAGTAACTACAGGTTGGCATCTAGTTCAACACAATCCTAGTCACTATTTTTTTTAGGCACTGATTAGAGTTTTTGACCTCGGCCCACAGGGATAGATCAGAGTTCCTTTAATATAACACATACAACCTTTACTGACCTCTCCAGCTCCTTCTCCCCTCACTCACACCTGTGAACTTTATACTACAAGCAATACCTGAATAATGGACTGCTTCTATTTCCGTAACACACCATACTGTTCTTTAGCTCTGCGTTTTTGCTTAAGTTCTTCCCCTGGCCTATAATGCCAGTTCCCTCCTGAATTATAGGCTAAATTCTATTTGAGTTTTAAAACCCTGCTCAGATACCAGCTCTAACAAACATTCCAAGCCTCCCTTCCTCCTTCACTCTTCATTATCTCTAAATCTTACACATTTTTAATTGCTGAACAATATAATAAATTGTAATACAATTTATTTGTTTATACGTAAGTCTCCCCCACTAGAGTGAATGCCTTCAAAACAGTCTCTATCATTTACAGTGCCTGCAACGTAACAGTCCTGAACCTATGCTTGATAATGAGTGACTAAGTAGTTGAGAAAATTAGATAATGAATGACACATGGGAAACCAGAGCTGATGTGGTCAGGGAAAAGTGGAGCTCACAGTAACTCACATAGATTTCCATCTTTCGGTAGAGACCATAGTTGAGCAGCAAATTGTGAGTCATGCGGATTCGATGGGGCTTCATTGGGTGACCTTGTCCATAATAGTAATTTCCAACATCCCCTGAAGAAAAAAGAATGACAGCTTCAGTGACACAGTTAGACACATGCTCCCAGGAGAACCCAAGAATTCTTGTAACAAACTCCTGAGCAAACTCTCTTCCTGGCTCATTTCTAGCCTTTAAGAGTCTCCAAAGATACAGCTATTGGTCTCTTCCAATCTGGAGCAAAAGAAAATGAAGGAAACCAAAGACTCAAAGAAGAAACTAGTCCACAGGACTAATAGCCCACACGAACCATGGCCTCTTCTAGCCTGAGACCTGAAGAACTAGATGGTGCCTGTCTACCACAACTGACTGTTCCGACCAGGGACACAAGAGAAGGTCCCAGATGGAATGGCAGAAAAATACAGAATAAAACTCTAATTCCTAAAAAAGACCAGACTTACTGGACTGACAGCAGGGACAGATTACTCAATAAGCAAGGTACACATGGGCTTACTTGTGCTTACTTACTAGTAGTGCACACAGATTAGTAAGTAAGCACAAGTAAGCCTGTGCATACTCTGCTTACTGGTTAATCCGCCCCTGACTGATAGAGACTAGAGGAACCCTTGAGACTACTGCCTTAAGATACTCTTTTAACTTGGAACTGTAGCCACTCCCAGAGGTCTTTTTTCAGCCAAATTAATATATTGGCTTATAAAATAAACAATATCACCTGTAAGGAATGTGCTCCCTGAAACAATCAACTATCCAAGAACAGTCAACATTTACCCAAAAGCAAAGATGAGAAGACAAGGAGGAGCAGAGATGCTAGATTAATGGAAACAGAACAAACAAAATGGAAATAATGAGAACGCCGACACATTGCAAAAATTGTCACAGATCAATTTGTACAAAAAATTGTTAAATGGGAATCTAATTTGCGGTGTAAACTTTCACCTAAAACACAAAAAAATTTTTAAAAAAAGATTCTCTTTCACCTTGAGGAGAGTAACTTACCAAAAAAAGAAAAGAAGGCGACCTCAGTGAGGTCAGCACTTAAAGGATGTCAAAGCCTAGCCCAGTTTCTTCCCCTGGAATCCACAGGTACTAGGATAGTATGAAGGGTTATTTCAAAGCACTGGGTAACAGCAGCCAGTGAGTAGACTAGCTTACTGTGCCTTACTGTACCTCCAAGGAAATTCCCACTCCCAGCAAAAAAATAACCATCACACATTACAAGCGCAGTTCACCTCTTACATATTGTGACACTTTATGGTATAAAAGCACATTCACATCCATTTCTTTACTGGATCCTCACAATAGCCCTGTAAAATAGGTAAACCAAAATCCGCTGTCATCGAGTTAATTCTGACTTATAGCAAACCTACAGGACAGAGTAGAACTGCCCCATAGGGTTTCCAAGGCTGTAAATCTTCATGGAGGTAGACTGCCATATCTTCCTCCTGTGGAGTGGCTGGTGGGTTTGAACCTCCGACCTTTCAGTTAGCAGCCAAATGGTTAACCACTGTGCCACCAGGGCTCCACTGTAAAATAGGTAGGAAGCATTATTCCCATTTTATGGATAAAACTAAACTCATCTCTTACTTAGCAATAGCCTTCTAATAGTCCCTCTGCCTTCAATTCAAACTATCTGCCACAGTTACCAGAGTGATCTTCCTAATCTGCAGCTCTGATAACATCCCGCCCCTGCTCAAAAACCCTTAATAGCTCCCCACTCCTTACTGGATAAAGAGTAAAGAATAACCTTCGTAGCCTGGCACTCAAGGACTTAAGAATCTACCTTTCCAACTTCATCTCCTGCTACCTATACCATTCCTCTCCCACAACACACACATTCACTCCCTTACTGGTCAAGACAGGAATTGGCAAACTATGGCCCTGGGGCCAAATTCACTGGCCACCTGTCTTTGTGGATAAAATTTTATTGGAACACAGCACACCATTAGTTTATATATTGCCTGTGGCTTCCACATGATATTGGCAGGATTGGATAGTTAAATAGTTGCAACAGAGACCCACCCCTATAGTGCAAAAAGCCTTAAATATTTACTATGTGGCCCTTTACAGGAGCCCTGGTGGTGCAGTGGTTAAGAGCTCGGCTGCTAGCCAAAAGGTCAGCAGTTCAAATCCACCAGCCGCTCCTTGGAAACCCGATGAGGCAGTTCTATTCTGTCCTATGGGGTCGCTATGAGACAGAATCAACTTGACAGCAACAGGTTTTTGGTTTGGGCCCTTTACAGAAAAAGTTTTCTAGCCCCTGCTCTAGACATACCAGACTATTGTCAGCATTCTGAACATGGCATTCACCTTCCCACCAAAGAATCCCTTGTTCAGATTGTTCCTTCAACCTGGAATGACTTCCCTTCTCCAATGAGCCCAGCGCAAGTCCCAAGCTCCTTCCTGATCAGAATGGTCTTTTCCTCCACATGCAATATACATATAACACTTAATTTTGTTTTGTATCTGAGTTATTTGAGTGGGCAATGGTAGTTCAGTGGTAGAATTCTTGCCCTCCATGTAGGAGATCTGTGTTTGATTCCAGGCCAATGCACCTCAAGCGCAGCCATGACCTGTTTGTCATTGGAGGCTTGCATGTTGCTATGAGGCTTAACAGGTTTCAGCAGAGCTTCTAAACTAAGAGAGACTAGGAAGAAAGACCTGGTGATCTACTTCTGAAAAATCAGCCAATGAAAACCCTATGGATCTCGTTTATGGGGTCGACACGACTGGGGGCCAACTTGAAGGCAGCTAACAACAACAATCTAAGTTATTTACATATATAGTCACGTACCACATAATGTCCATTTGGGGAATGTCCAACCACATATACATCTGTGGTCCCATAAGGTTATAACAGAGTTCAGAGATCCCAATCGGAGAACGGGACACAGTGGATGTAACACTTAAGAAATACTTCCAAACCAAGCATTGTTTTCATGAGCGTCACAAAGTAGTGACGTGTTAGTTATTATGAACCATTGCATGTATTTAGCTCAAATTTTTAACATAATAGGCTTTATAGCAGTCCGTTCTTAAGTACGAGCTGTCCATGTCTGAAAGTTGGATGTTCATAACCCATGGACTGCCTGTATATAACAAGTGTTCGCACAACCTCCAGATCACATAATGTCCTATTTTACAGAATGTATCATGGACATTAAGCGATGCATGATGGTATATCTATATCAACAAGACTGGGTGCTCCTTGAAGACAAGGATGAATATACCCTGACCATCACAGAAACTCAATGAAGATGCAATGACTCAGGGAAGTGCTTATCCAAGATCACAGACCTAAGAGTAATCTGGAAATCAACTTATCTGACTCCAAATCCAGTACTCTAAGAGTTATACTGGGGGCCTAATTCAGTTTGCACTTATTCTAGAGGGCTCTGTGGGTCTACTTCGTAGAAAGTTCCTTGAACAGTATCCCAAAATCGAGGGAACTACATACCCAAAAATCTTTCCTTAGAACCCACTGGAATGAGCTTTCAGCACCTAATAGGAAAACGTCTCAACCTCTTAGGCATAGCGGTTTGGTGGCCCCAGGATAGGCTCTGTTCTGGGGAGCAGTTCATTTTGGGGAATGTCACCAACAGCATCCAAGTCATACTCCAATTCTCTTTGTCAGAGACGTGGCCTGGGATAATGAGACAGTTGTAAACAGCCGAATGTTTAGAATCTCATCCTTTTCTCTCTCCCTCTCTTTTTTTTAAATAGACTTTATTTTTTAGAGCAGTTTTAGATTTATTTAAAGAAAAACTGCAAAGATAGTACAAGTGTTCCTATATACCCTGTACACAGTTTCCCCTACTATTAACATCTTACACTAGTATGGTACATTTGTTACAATTAATGAACCAGTATTGGTACATTATCATTAACTAAAGCCCATACTTTATTTAGATTTCCTTCATTTTTACCTAATGTCCTTTCATCCTCTTCTCTTAATTCTAGTGAGGCCTCTGATGGCAGGGACTATGCTTTCAGCAAGAGCTGCAAGCCAGTGGCTGCCATATAGCAACAGTCAACAGGGACTTATTTGTCCCCAGGGTCCAGGAGAAAACTTTATCAGCCATACGGATAGCTAGAATAGGCATGTAAAAGCATTGGCTGAGACATCTAGGTGCAGAACCAATTTGTGAGCAGTCAGTAGTCACATGGCCATGTGACTGGATTCCTGCTTACTCACTTCCTGGCATGGGCCTTAATCCCTACCAACTCACTTGCCTATCAAGTCTGGATGCAGCCAAGACACAGACCTGGGGAACTAAGATACAATATCTAGAAGGTTAAAGGAATACCTGAGGGTGGAGCCCTATCCTTTTCTTAAGTTTCTGATCAGCTGCTGAGAGATTTTATGGGGGAAAAGTAGCAGGAAATAATCCTTTTTATTTAGATACTATATTAAACTTTTAAAGAGCTTTCCTATTACTATTATAACAGAAACTGCTATTCTCTCAGTTTTATAGAATGACCTAAGGCTCTGAAGGGTAAAGTGACTTGCAAAGCTTCTAAGTGGCAGAGCCAAATCTGGGTCCCAAGCTAGTAACTCCACAGCAAAACTCACAACTTGTCAAGAAGTAACAAGTCTGATCCCTTCTCCAAAGACTGTGATCTTTTCTACTTTCTCTTCTTTTGAATCAAGAGTATTGAGATCATAAAATCCTACAAATGGAAATAGCTCCAGCCTCAAGAGGGCCTCATCACTGCCCAGCAATCTAGATTTATTTCCCTAGTTCTCTCTTTCACAACAGCTAGTATTTCAAATCTTCTCTCTCGTCAAGATTCCTACTCTACCAACTATCCTTCCTCACTCTCAGGAAAAATATTCTCTTCATCTGAGAATTCTCTCAACATTTTCCCTATCTTCTCTTTAAATTCACCTACACTTAAACTTTGCCTTGCCCCTTACCCTCTTGTCACAAAGGCACTTCCTCTTGAAGGCTCTGGTTTCCATCTTACCTGGTGTCATCAGGAACCTCCATCACCACTAGCTATCTGTCTTTCTCTCCCTACCTCCTGGCTGTTTTAGAATTTGAACATGCTCAACTCCCAGCTACTATTTCTGCCCTTTATCAACAACCCTCTCTCCTTGCTCCAGACAAGATTCCCTTAACAAGGATTTAACCTGATGTCTCCTCTTTACCCATCCATTCACTCCTCAATCTACCACAATCTAGCTTCTGCCCTAACCCCTGCTCAGAAATAGTTCTTGCCAACAACTGACCACTCCCTCTCTCCTTTCGATTCTGTAACCCAACACTTCCTGGTTCATGTACCTCTCTGGTCACTCCCTCTGTCTTTATTAATTTATTCAACAAATATTCACTGAAAGCCTACTATGAGCTACACACTGTTTTGTTTGTTTTAATATACTATATGAGAGCCTTCACAACTAGGGGATTGGGGATACAGAGGTAGGCAAGGCATAGTTCCTTTCCTTAAAGAGCTTACTGTCTGCAAGAAATATGAACGATGGGCAATTCCAGTACCCCATGACAAGGGCTGTGACAGAGAAGTACAGAGCACAAGGGGCATTAGACTTCTTTTCCTCAGTCTATTTCCTAAATATTGCTTTTCCTTAGAATTCCACCCTGGATCCTCTTCTCTTTTCACCCTATACAACTTCTTGGGTGACTCCATCCTCTTCTATGACTAAAATTACCATCTACATATGCTGACAACTAAATAAACTATCTCTTCTAAACTGTAGATCAAAATGGTCAGTTGCCTACTAGACATCTCTCTTTGTATGTCTCCAGACATCTTAATAGATGTTGCTTAAAAAAAAAAAAGTTATCAACTGACATGGCCTTCTCCAACACCCACCATCAAGTTGTACAAGCCAGAAATTTGGGATCCTTGCCTTCTTCTTTATCCCTGTTGTTGTTGTTAGGTGCCATCAAGTCAATTTCGACTCACAGCAATCCCCTGTGACAGAGTAGAACTGCCCCACAGGGTTTTCCTGGCTGTAATCTTTACAGAAACAGATGGCCAGGTCTTTCTCCCATGGAGCTCCTACATTCATGAATTTAATTTATGCCCCAGTGTGATACTTCTAAGGCATAAAACTGATAAAACTTCAATCACTCACAAGTGCCCTCAGATTAAAGTCCAACTTCCTTGGGACAGCATACCTGGCCCCTCAGGATCTGGTCCCCATTTACTCCTCCAGCCTCATCACTAGCAACCCTTCCCCCACTCCTGCTCCTTCTACATTCTGCCCCTAACCCTACGCCTCAGCCTGATGTACATATATCTGCTGTTTTCAAAGGTGCTGTCCTCTCTCTAAGGAGACCTGGTGGCACAGTGGTTAAGCCCTCGGCTGCTAACTGAAAGGTCAGCAGTTCAAACCCACCAGCTGCTCCATGGGAGAAAGATGTGGCAGTCTGCTTCCATAAAGATTACAGCCTTGGAAATCCTATGGGGCAATTCTACTCTGTCCTAAAGGGTCACTATGAGTCAGAATTAATTCGACGGCAATGGGTTTTTTTTTTTTGGGGGGGGGTCCTCTCTCTTGCCCCTAAAATTGCTGTAATCTTCGCTTTTCCTGTGCCTGGCTATTAACTCCTGTTCTTCAGGTTCTAAGATGGCACCTCCTTCCCTGACTCCCCAGGCTGGATTGGATGTCCCTTTTCTGTGCTCAACTCTGAGTTTTCCTTTACCCCAACAGTATGCTGGAGAGTAATTCTCTGTCATTGTCTATCCTCCCTCTAGACTGTGACCTGAAGATGGAAGTGTGACTTGATTATCCCCATGGCCCCAGCATTTAAAAGCTACCTAGTACCGAGTAAGCCTCTGACAGATTTTTGTTAAAAAGAATAAATCCGTATTAACAGGTTGCACATTCCTCCTTTCAACCTGGGGCGGGGAGTGGGGGTGGAGGGGCAATTCCCAGCAGCAACTGCAAGCCCTGCTCAGAGACTGGGGAGAGAGGAAGCTGGTGACCACTAGTTGGCGATTCTCACAGGACTCTCACTGAAAAGGATGAATAAGGGACACGGAAAGACCTGTATATTCTCAGCAGGAATATATGTCCTTTCAACCCCCTCCATCAGATTCTACCTCCTCCCTCAGGCTCACCCTCCCTTCTAAAAGTCCCAATCAAACTCTGTACATCAGACTTCTTCAGAATCCTCCCAAGATTACCTCAGTCTTAGCCAAACAACTCCCTCTGGCCTCAGCCTCCTCCCTCTGCCTCGACCTCCTTTCCTCTCTCAGCTTCCTCCCTCAGTCTCACCCTCCTTCCTCTCAGTCTCCTCTTTCAGCCTCGACCTCCTCTTCTCTCAGTCTCGCCCTCCTCCCTCACCTCGGCCTCCTCCCTCACCTCGGCCTCCTCCCTCAGTCTCGATCTCATTCGTCTCAACCTACTCTCTCAGCCTCTCCTCAACGCCTCAGCCTTCTCTGAGAGCTCCTCGACCTAAGCCTCCCTCTCCCGGATCCGGCCCGGCCTAGGCCCCGCCCCCGCCGCGAGGACGGTGCTCACCGTCGTAGTAGTAACAGACTTTCCTCTTGGTGCCCACAGTCTGCGCCATCTTGCTCGCCTCCCGTCCCTCCCGTCAGTCGGTCCGTCTACCCTCCCGCCCGCGGCTCTGCTCTGCGTCCGACCCAGGGGGGATGGGCGGGCCTCCAGCCCGCTCCGCCCGTCCCCTCCCGGGCTCACCTATAGCCGCGCAGCCCGGGCACCGCTCCAGCCAATCAGCTTGAGCAGGGACGGGCCCGGAACTCGGCAGGGGGCAAGGGCAGCCCTGAGAGGCAGCCGAGGGCCCCCTGGGCCTGTACCAAGGTCGCGACAGGGGGGTGGGGGAGCTGCCCGGGGACCGTACCATTAGTCCCGGGGGAGGAAGAGAGATCTGTAAACTTCACTGTCCTAGTTCGTCGTTGGAAGGGTGCTTGGAGATGAGAGGCCAATTTTGAAATTTTGCAGACAATAAAATGAGGCCTATAGAGGAAAGAAGAGGTACAGCCATAATGCTCCTTAGAAGCGAGGATGGCTCGACTTGTCTCACGTACTTTGGATATGTTATCAGGAGGAACCAGTCCCTAGAGAAGGACATCATGCTTGGTAAAGTAGAGGGTCAAGAAAAAGAGGAAGACGCTCAACGAGATGAATTGACACAGTGACTGCAATAATGGGCTCAAACATAACAACGATTGTGAGGTTGGCGCAGGACCGGGCAGTGTTCGGTTCTGTTGTACACAGGGTCGCTATGAGTTGGAACCAACTCGATGGCACCTAACAATAACATAGAGGAAAAGTGATTTGCGCAAGGTCACCCAGCTAAGGAAGGGGCTGCACCTGAGTTAGGACGCAGGTTTAAGGGAGAAATAAAATGTTTGTCAAGGGCTTGCTATGTAGCAAGTACTGTGCAATAATAGCTTTACCACACTTTTCTCAGTTATTCCTCATAGTAGCTCTGGAAGAGGGCTTTTTATCCTCATTTTACAGATAAGGATAATGAAGTTCAGACCTTTGTGAATTGCTGAGTCACACGATTAATGATTAAATTTAATTTTCATTTGTACAGATTTTTTTGAATGCCAGCTATGTGCCAGAGGCATTGTAACAAAGTGGCAGAAACCTCTCTGATGCAGTCCCCAGGAGGATTAAGAAGTATCTTCACGTGGGGTTACCATGAGTCAGAATCCACTTGAGGGCAACTGGTTTGATTTTTTGGTTTTGTTGTTGTTAGGTGCCCTCGAGTTGGTTCCGATGCATAGCGACCCTATAGGACAGAGTAGACCTGCCCCAAAGGGTTTCCAAGGAGCAGCTGCTGGATTCAAAGTGCTGATCTTTCGATTAGCAGCCGAGCTCTTAACCACTATGCCACCAGGGCTTCATAATTTTTGTTTGTTTGTTTTAGGCAGGAGTAAACTGGATTGTCCTCTTACCTAGATTAGGATTTCTCAGCCTTGGAGGTATTGATATTTGGGGCCAGATAATTCTTAGTTGTTGGGGGTTGTCCTGTGCATTGCACTGTAGGATGTTTAGCAGCATCCCTGACCTCTACACATTAGATGCCAGTAACATCCTCCACCCCCCAGTTATGACAACCAAAAATGTTTCCAGGCATTGCCAAATGTCCCTGGGGCAGTGAGAGGTCAAACCACCCACCACGTTCCCCTTGAGAACCACTGCGCTAGATCGGTTCATCATCACCTGACCATTGTTGACAACTGAAAGATTGAAAAGCATTGTGCTGGGCTATTAAAATAATGACTACAACAACATTAATATTTAGTGAGCGCTTACTATGTGCCAAGCATTATATTAAAGTAACTTACCCATAGTTTTACAGTCAATAAGATACATTTTAAGCCTCTTTACAGCTTAAAGATTGCCTGGGGACATGTGTTCTCACTTAGGAACTGCATTTGAACCATTAATTATAAAGGTAATAGGAAATCTAAGACTGGGTCTTTCGTTCTGTTATAAAAATAGCAAAGGACCAGGGAACAAACTATTCCCAGGTCTGTGTTGCTACTTCTTAGCTATTCTTGGGTGGATTACTTACCCTTTCTGAACCTCCATTTTCCTCTTTATAAAATGGGGAGGATAAGAATACAAAGTTCACCAACTCCACGGCTGCACACAGTGTCCAAAACAGGAGGAGAGTGGGGATCAGATGAGATTATGGGTGTGGTAGCACTTTATAAACAGGGATCACAAATTCAGATGCCTACAGAGCTCAGGTGTTGTTCAGTGCCATCAAGCTGATTACTACTCATAGTGACCCCATGTGACAGAGTGGAACTGCCCCATAGGGTTTTCTAGACTGTAGCATTTATAGGAGTAGATTGCTAGGTCTTTCTGCAGCATAGCAGCTGGGTGGATTCGAACCCCCAACTTTCAATTATCAGCTGAAAGCTTAACCGTTGTACCACCAGAGGTCGGGTAAGTGATGTAAATGAGTGGATCTATGTATTTTTTTTTTACTGAGATGCTCTTTATTTGCATATTTAAAAATTGGACTATTTTTCATTTTCATAAAGAAATATGCCTTTCTCCCACCTTTCTTTAAACACACTGCCATCTTGGGGTGTCTTTAATCTTCTCACTTTTTAATGGAGATATGGATACAAAAAAAATTCATTTTCCTTTTTATTATAAGAATAATAACTTGGAGCATGGTGATAAACACTTATTAACACTCAATTTCATTGTCTCAGAGCAATAGGGAGGGAGAGCTCATACCCCACTTAAAGGGGGTAGTCACTACTCAGCTCCATGAGGGTAGGGAGGCCCAAAGTGGTCAACTCTTCCTATGTTTCGAAAGAAAGCAGAAATCTGGAGTTTTATGAAAAATCTCCCCAGTTTTATAAATTGGCTGCTAATGCAGTCAATTCCCAATACAGCAGTAAGAGCCATCCTTTTAAAATGTGTTATCGCCTTTTGAGTCCATTCCGACTCATAGCGACCCCATGTGACAGAGAAGAACTGCCCCATAGGGTTTTCTAGGCTGTAATCTTAAGGGAAGCAGGTCACCAGGTCTTTCTCCCACAGAATGGCTGAGTGGGTTGGAACCAGCAACCTTTCCATTAGCAGCCCCACTCTTTACTGTTGTACCACCAGGGCTGCTTTTTAAAATGTGAGTCAGATCATATTACAGCTCTGCACAAATCCTTGCAAAAACTACGCAAAATGGCTCCTGCAAAAGCCACAAGACCCAGCTCCTAGAATCTAATTCTCTCTCTCTGGCCGCCATTACCTCTGTGAACATGCCAGGCAAGTGCCTGCCTCAGGCTATTCCCTCTGGCAGATGCTCCTTCCCATTCTATGTGGCTCACTCATTTCCTTCAAATCTTTGCTCAAATGTCATCTTCTCAGTGAGGCCTTCCCTGACCACCTTCTTTAAAATGGCAAACCTCCCCGAAACATGGCATTCCTAATCTCCTTTACTCTGCTCTTTTTTCCCCAGTACCTTGTAGCATACAATATAATTTACTTCTTTATGATGTTTATTGTTTATTGTCTGTCTTCCCTTACTAGAATGTAAGCTCACAAAGACAGAAATTTGTGTGGGTGTTATCAACTATATATCCTATGAGCCTAGCACAGTAGAGTTTCAATAAATATTTGTTAAATGAATGAACTAATTCAATTTTTAAAAATATCCTGAAGGTGAATGAAAACATATCTAAGGCCAGACACAGCCCTTGAATTACTAGCTGTAAAAAAACACAATTGCCCTTATATAATGGGATGGAGAAGATCCTATGACGCACCCACTCTGGAGGAAATTCTAGGTGGGAGTTGAACTAAATCCTTTGGGGTAGAGGTGAGGTGTGCTGTCCCATTTGAAGGAGTTGGCAGAGCCCATACAGCAGATTGTAGGGATCTCTTCTCGGCCCTCAGCATCACCAGGGCTGGAAAAAAGTTCAGACATTCCCTCAGGGTGTCATCAACTCAGGGTGACCCAGTTTCCATCTTCTGAACCCCTACTCCCCACCCCAAGGATGAGGAGATGGGAATGGGGAGCAGAGAGATGTACAACGTTCAACAAACAGACATTTATTGAGCTCCTGATGTGTGCCAGGCACCAAGGAGGAACACACAGAGGTATCAGACAAAGTCCCAGCCCTCTAGGAGTTCTTGATCACCAGGGGAAAGGAAAGGGAGTGGGGCCAGAAGCTGGTGTCAGTCACAGGCTTCTGTCCTCTCTCTTGTGGTCCTAGAAAGTAGGAGAGCCCAGAAAGGAACACCTTGGACAGGTGTCCAAAACATACACACACAGGCCGTACACGTACAAGACACATGACAAGCCCACACAAGTACAGGACACGTGTACAAAACACAAGATATGTATGTGTTACATGTGGACGGGATTCACATGCAGAGTCCTTATGTGCACAGGCCACATGGATAGAGCACTAGAACTGTATCTCCCCAAGTCAGGCTGAGAGATGCAGGTCGCTAGATGCGGGGAGGCCTCCAGGCCCCAGGGCCACTAGGCCCTTCAAGGTTGGGGCTGGTACTGGCCCTCTGTGGCTGTGAAGAAGTCCTCCAGCACACTGCGCAGGTAGTCAAAGGTAGGTCGATCCTCTGGGCGCTCCTTCCAGCACAGCATCATGAGGTCATACAGCTCCTCAGGACAGTTGTCAGGTCGCACCATGCGGTAGCCTCGCTCCAGGTTCTGAATCACCTCGGGATTGGTCATCCCTGGAGGTTGATGGGAGAAAAAACATCAAGGCTCCAGGCTTTGGAAACCCACAGGCAGAGGTAATATTCAGAATATTTAACAACTAACATGCCAGTCTGAAATGTCAGTCATGCCACTTGAGTTCCTGGTATAGCTTAAACACTCTGTTTCACACGCGTTAGTTGCAGTGACCTTGGGCAAGCTACCTCACCTCTTTGAGCCTCAGTTTCCTCATGCAAAAAGTGGAGTAAATAGTAGTTCCTAGTTCACAAGGTTGTTATAAGGATTGAATGAGATAATGCATATAAAGCACCAAGTATAAGGTCTAGATAGGAGATGCTTCATAAAGGATAACTGATTATTTGGTGGGGAAAGAAGAAGTGGTCAAGGCTCAGGGTAGGATAGGAGCCCATAGCCAGGACAGTGGTGAGTTTCTCCAACGTTGAGAGCAGCCACATAAGATGCTGTATCTGGAAGCCAGATGGATCCTGGGCTCCAGCAAAACAGACCCTGCATGGGCCAGAGAAGGGTCACGAGGCCCCTCCGTGATGCAGATGAAATAGTCATTGGGCCAGTTCCCTCCCTTTGTGCTCATCCTGGCCCCTCTAACAGGCTTTTGGCATGCAGACCCCAAGAGGAGCTGCTGTGGAGAATTGCATGGTCCCAGCAAAAACAGAGCCTCCTGTTTCTGAATTATCCAGCCAGTCTCTAGTTTCTCCTGCAGTCTCCTAAGAGGAGACTGTGATAGGCACTCCCCAAAGACTAAACCCTTCTAGGGCCCTGGCAAAATAGAAGTTTTTCTCCTGCAAAGCTTGGGACTAGACCCTAGTCAATAAAGATCCCTGTCTCCAGGCTTGCCCCTGGGAGACCCCTAGCTATAGGTCCCTCATGTTCTAGAATCAGGACATTGGAGGACATAGGCCATGGAACTAAATACCCTTGTCTAGGGTCAAGGTTGCAAACTGTTAGCCAGTAGGCCAAACCCAGCCCAAGTATAGCCCACAGACCTACTTTGGTTTGGCCCATATAGTGTTTTTAAACAATTTGAATCAATCACTAGTATTTAGAAATGAGCAAATTTTTCTAAAACTCTGAGTTTTGGCTTCTCTTGAAAAACAGGTCTGTTTTTTGGGCCTCCAATGCCTAAATGGCAACCATCTGCTGGAGCAGATGCAAGTTCACCAAGGTCAGCATTACTCTTCTTTGTCTCCCCGACCCTGAAGCCACTTGTCAGTTGCCATTTATCATCATGCTTTCACTGCCTTTTTTCTTCTAAGAGAGAAATGCTCTGTGGGTTAGCCTCTCTGGCACAGCAGAGGAGAAGAAAAGGCCCTTGGTGGGACGGCTGAGTGTGGTTACAGCCCCAGCACTGCCCCTGGGCTCTGTGTGACAGTGGCCAAGTCCAGGACAGGAAGGGCCTTCAAGCCTCTCACCTGATTCTAAGGTGCCTTTACCTTCCTAGGAGGAAAGGTTTGTTCATTGCTCTGGGGATGTCAGAAGTTTCTGCGCATCAGGCCACTATGCTCTGAGACCTCCCTACTACTGTCTTTGTATTCCATTTCCTTTCCCCAGAGTTTCCTAGCAAGTTCTTTTTAAAAAATTCCATCTCTGTCTGGGCTGAATTAAGGGGTAAAGGGCTTTGTCCAGGAGATAAAGGGAGGGGTGAGTGAGAGAGAGGGTGAGAATTAGTCGCTTACATGTCTCTTTCCCTCGTTAACAGGCCCTGGTGGCACAGTGGTTAAGTGCTTGGCTGCTAACCAAGAGGTGGTTAGTTTGAACCGATCAGCCTCTTGGTGGGAGAAAGATGTGGCAGTCTGCTTCTGTAAAGATCACAGCTTTGGAAACCCTATGGGGCAGTTCTACTCTGTCCTAGAGGGTCACTATGAGGCAGAATCAACTTAATGGCAATGGGTTTTGTTTGTTTTTCTCCCTCTTTAGATGGAAAGCTTCAGAGGGAAGAGAAGTCAGTGTTTAGTGAGCACCTACTATGAGTCAGGAGTCACTGGGTGATGAAAATGGTTAATGCGCTTGGCTGCTAACCAAAAAGTTGGAGGCTGAGTTCACCCAGAGATGCCTCAGAAGAAAGGCCTGGTCTACTTCCAAAAAATCAGCCACTGAAAACCTCATGAAGTACAGTTCTACTCTGATACACATGGGGTCACCATGAATCAAATCAACTTGACAGCAACTGGTTTGGTACTACGAATCAGGCTCCTTCACAGACAGTTTCTCTTTTTTATATGAGAAAACTGAGGCTCAGAGAGGTGGCATGACTTGCCCAAAGTCATACAGTGATGATTAATAATAAAACCTAACACTCCTGAGTGCTTACTATGGGCCAGGCTCTGTTTTAACCTCAATGAAGTTTCATAACAACCCTGCAAGTATACCTCACAGAGATAATGTCAAAGTTAAAACAGTTAATATATGTAAAGTGCTTAGAACAATAGTTAGCGTGTAGTAGGAAAGAAGGAAAAAAGGAAGTATATGTTCAAAGCCAAAGAGAAAGTTAGCATCAGTGGTAGATCTGGTAATAAAAGGTAGGTCTCTTGCCCCCCAGGCCAGATCTACTACCATACTAGGCTGCTGTACTAGAACATAAGAAAAGAGCTGGAATTATTGAAGGAGGAGAGATCCAGAGACAGAGATGGAAGCCCTCTCTGGGAGATGCGGCATCTGTTTGGGGATGCTGGAGTCACACCCCCGAGAGGAAGAAGTAGCTAGAAAGTTCCAGACTGGGAAGAAGTGAGTGGAAAGACATGGATTGGCTGCCCTTCCCCATCACCCCTTCCAGTTCCTGACCTTGGTCCTTACCTGGGTAGGGGATACGGCCGTGGGTGACGATCTCTGTTAGCAGGATCCCGAAAGACCACACATCTGATTTGATGGTGAACGTCCCATAGTTAATGGCTTCTGGTGCTGTCCACTTAATGGGAAACTTGGCCCCTGGGGGGGAGGCAGAGTGAGGTCACCTGGATCTGCTTGACAGGAACCTGCCAGGCCCCAGACCTCTCTCAGGCCCCACACTCACCCTCCCTGGCTGTATACTCGTTGTCCTCAATGAGGCGTGCTAGGCCAAAGTCTGCAATCTTACAGCTTAGGGTGTCAGACACCAGGATGTTGGCGGCTCGCAGGTCACGGTGGATATAATTCCGCTCCTCAATGAATGCCATGCCCTCGGCAATCTGCAGGCCAGGTACAGGTCAGCAGTCCTGGGCCAGACATCCTCACCCACAGGCCAGTGCCCATGCCCAACCCTTCCCTAGGCTTCTTACCTGGGCTGCCATGTCTAAGAGTTTGTTAACGGTCAGCTTGATGCCTGGGGGGGTCTTGAGGAAATCCACCAGGCTCCCTGTGTGCAGAAGCATGAGTAGTGAGCAGAGGGAGCAGAGGGAGGAGAGATCCTCTGGCAGAACCCAAGTCACCTCAGGGGGAGGCCACCAGACCCTTCTCGCAAACTGGGAGTCTAGAAGCAGAGTCTGACATGTGGAAAGGAAGAATAAGGGGTGCGAATGGAAGAGTATGTGCCCACGGTGAGGATGCCCAGGATACGTGAAGGTCTTTTCTGGGCATCCTCACCCTGAGCACAGGAGGGCTGGGATGGGGCATCTTGTAGACTTCTTGTCACCAATGAGGTAAAGCCCAAATCCCTCGCCCAGGGATCCAAAGTCCTGCATGGTCCACATTTGTAGCTTCTTTTCCTCCCCCACCCCTGCCTCCTTCATGCCATCCACCGTATACAATTTTGAGAGTCTTCACACAGACCACTTGGCTCTCATCCTGAAGTCTCTGTCCATCCCTACCTCATGAAAATTCCAGTTTTCTTTCATGGCCCAGCTAGAATGCCCCTCTAGGAAGCTAGTCCTAGCAGGCATAATAAATTACATCATCTTCTGCATTCCTGTGGTGTGCCAGAACCTTCCCATGGCACAAACCCTGTCTTCACAGTGCCCGTTATTAAAATCATGGGTTCCCCTGAGAGCAGAAACCTTGTTTGCTCATCTAGTGCCCAAATCATGGGTTCCCCTGACAGCAGAAACCTTGTTTGCTCATCTAGTGCCCAGCCCAGAGTAAGCAGCAATGAGTGTGTGCTGAAGGTATTGAAAGGAATATAGAAAGAGGTCCTGGGGACCTGAGAGCATTTCTCGTAGTGGAGGGTGGCTGGAAGAAGAATACAATGGATGTTGCTAGGATGAAGCTAGTGACCACTGGCACTCATCAAAAGATTAAAACCCATGTGAGGATGACAGCATACCTGAGAGTCCCCACTATGAGGCTAAATTAGTCACCAAAGACAAAGTCCTCACCCAGAGGCAGCAAATATGTGGATATATACTGCCATTCCTCCATTGTGTCTGTGACAGATGTTGCTAATCGCAGTACTCACTTCCAGTGAGCCTCAGAACCCTTCTCAACCAGCTCTCCAAGCAACTACCAACCAGTCAAAGTTGGTACATATGTTAAAACCTACTTGCCATTTATAGAACCTATTAGCCAATTAGCTAATTTCCCTTCCTGAAAGGACAGATTTCATACTCCCAAAGAATCAGAACCAGATTAAAAACAACAACAAACATATTGTGTCACTAATATATGGCAGGCACTGTTCTAATTGCTCTATATGCATTAATTTTCATCCTCACAGAGACCCTATGAGGAAGTTACTATTGCATTATTATTACCATTTTACAGATGAGGAAACCAAGGCAGAGAGAAGCTAAGAGATTAGCCCAAGACCACTGTGGTGCAATGGATTACTTTTATATGGCCTTTCTCACCATGGTTTGTAACTCCCATCAAATGACTGGATGGGACTATGCAAATACAGTGCTTGTGGCTCACCAAGGGGATTGGACAACTTGCTAATAATGGTACATAGCACCCTTGTTGGGGTGGAACCATGCAAATAAGATAAATGGAACCCTAATGAAGGGATTGGTCAGTTTTGCAATCCCCCTAGGCTTAAAATGAGCCATCCCAGAGGCGGAAAGGGAAGACCTCACTACCACCAAGAAAGAAGAGCTAGGAGTGGAGCGCGTCCTTTGGACCTGGGATTCCTGTGCTGAGAACCTCCTACACCCAGGAGACAGAGAGAGAGCTGTAACAGCACAGACAGCGAGAGACAGTGAGAAGCAGTGGCAGAGAAATGGTGGCAGCAGAGGCAGCAGAACCAGGAGACTGGCAGCAGAAGGTGCAGTCGGCTTCACGGCCCACTGAACGAGAAAGCTGAGAGCCTTTGGGCCAAAGCTTACTGGTTGAATAGGGTGCCTCTGGGCACTTATCAGTGGAGCTAAAGAGCTTTGTAACACTTGCCTGAACAGGTCAGAGGCCGGGCCAGCCCAAGAGGCCCAAGAGGCTGAACAGCCAAAGGCCAGGGAGAAGCCTACTTGTAGGCACAGCCGAAAAGCTGCCGTGACTGAAGAACTATATCCTGAGTCATCCCTGATCCTGAATTGTAACCCATTACTTCCCTAATAAACGCCAAAACCGTGAGTATAATCTATGAGTTCGGTGTGGTCATGGCAACGAATTAGCGAACCGAGCAGAGAAGTAGAGAGTGCTGTGGGAGTGATGGCTGGTGTCAGAATTGGTAAAAAGGTTGGAGGGTGGAGGTATGTCTGACCTCCGCCTCATAGGAATCAGCCTTGGGCTGATGCTGATGGTGATTCTCCTCTCTCCTTATGAAGTTAGAGAAGGAGGTCAGATGTCACCCCAATGCCATTTTTACAATCACACAATCATGAAGACAGGATTCTAATCCAGGCAGTCAGACTCTAGAGCCCTTAGTGACTATATTCTTTCTGGGCAAGCTCACTTAGGTTTTCTGTCCCGTTTATAGCAGAGGCTGAACACATGGGGTCGCCATGAGTCAGAATCAACTGATGGCAACTAACAACATAACATAGCTGGGGAAACTGAGGGCCAGGGGTGGCACAGGGACTTAGCCTGGGTCACACAGTGAATCAGTGTCAGAGTGGAACTTAGAAACTCAGTCTCTGCCTTCCTGGATTCTCTGATAGTACAGCCTCTATAGCTACACCTCCCAAGGGAGGAAGAGGGGAAAGGGACTCACCCACAACTGAAAAAAAGGGCCTTGGGGCAGATCTAAGGAACCCTGATGGTGCAGTGGTTAAACACTGGGCTGCTAATGGAAAGGTCAGCAGTAGGAGCCCACCAGCCGCTTCACAGGAGAAAGAGATGGCAATCTGTTTGGGTAAAGATTCCCATTGCCATCAAGTCGACTGTAAATCTTTACCGAAGCAGACTGCCACATCTTTTTCCTGTGGAGCAGCTACTGGTTTCGAACCACCAACCTTTTGGTTAGCAGCCAAGTGCTTAACCACTGCGCCAGCAGGGCTCCTTCTCCATAAAGATTACAGCCATGTAAACCCTATGGGGCAGTTCAGCTCTGTCCTATAGTGTCGCTATAAGTTCCAATCCGCTCGACAGCAACGGATTGGGGCAGATCTGTCCTTCCAAGGCTAAGGGATGACAGAAATAGGAGAAAGGAAGCTAGGGGACCATTCCTCTCCTGAGATCTGGCATCCTGAGACCAAGGTAGAGTTTTGAAGAAGGCAAAGGAGACCGCAGGTCAGGGAAGATCGAGGTGAATGCTCTTCCAGAACCTGCTGTAGACTAGGCCCCCAGATGATACACCTTCTTCTCGTCCCTAGGGGTGCGTCTTCAGCGGCCCACGAAGCTCATCTAGAAACCCTCTGTGTTGAACCAGAGGAAAATGCATAACCCCACCCTCCGGGAATGGCTCAGGGAACAGCAGCGCCAGAAGCGCACCGTTCTCCATGTATTCCGTGATGATGTAGATGGGCTCCTGGGTGACCACGGCATACAGCCGGACCAGCCGCTGGTGTTGCAGCTGCTTCATGAGATTGGCCTCGGCCAGAAAGGCGTCGGGAGACATGCTGCCCTGCTTCAGGCTCTTCACCGCCACTTTCGTGTGCCCGTTGTAGTACCCTGAGGGAGAAGAGGTTGGAGGAGTCACCAGCAGCCGGTGCACCTGGACTCAGACAGCTGCCCTTTCTGCGGACGCCTTCCCTCCCCTCTGCTGCAGCAGCCCTGGAGGGTCGCACTCACCCATCCACACCTCCCCGAACTGGCCAGCCCCCAGACGCTCCACCAGCTTCAGCGTCTCCCTGGGAACCTCCCACTCGTCCTCCCACCACGGCTTCTGGGGTTTCTGGGTCTGGCAGGGGCGGCTCAACCGCGTGCACAACCCGTCCGGAGCATCTGCAGGGACACAGGAGAGGTGTGAGGGCTGTCAGTATGGAGAACCTTGGGTCACACTACTCGGCCCCCACTTGACCGAGTCCCCGCGTAAGAGAAACGGACTGGCAGGGAGATGCGGGGCTGTCACCCGACACCTGGGACTGTAGGGCCGGGGACCCCACCCCACCCACTGGGGGGAATGAAGGAGCGCGCTGAGAAATGGGGGGAGGGTAACCCTGAGAGAAACTGGGGGGAGGAGACAGGCAGGTAGGGCACAGGAGAAGGCGTCTGGGGACACGTCTGAGGGAGTCCTGGCGGTGCTCACTGGTGTAATGGCGAACCAGTTCATGCAAGCCGGGGAAAGTGATGCGGGGGGAGATGTAGAAGCCGCCGTTGTCCAGGTTACGGATCTTGTAATGTTTCACCACCTCTCCCTGGTTCTGGTCGAAGTCCCGGACCGACAGTGAAAACGATCCTGAACGAATGAATGGATAAATGAACGAAAGAATGCAAGAGGGTAGGATTGCCTCCAACGAGGCGCGCCCGCTGCCACGCCCTTTCTGCTCTGGCTCGCCCGGGTTGCACCATCGGTCCCCATCTCCAGCCAGCCGGCGGCCGCTCCCAGCCTGAGGCCCCCGCGAGTCCGCGGCCCCGCCCACTGATGCCCCGCCCAGCCTGAGGCCCCGCCCCAGCTGCGGCCCCGCCCAACGGCTCACCCGCGGTGCTCTCGCTCTCCCGGATCAGGAAGGAGCCGTGCGTGTTGCCCGGCGCCAGAAGCTGCCGTTCCGCGTCCTTGCGGCTCAGGTTCTTGAAGAACCAGCTGGGCAGGGCAGAATCGACAGCTGGCGTTTGTTGGTTCGTTCTTCTTCCATCCCCCGCAAGCAGTTATCACCACCCCCAGCACCCGCTCTAGGGTCGCCAGATGTGTTCCCGCCCTTCCCCACGACGAGTCCCCACTCACGGTTCCGGCTCCAGGCTGTTTGCTTTGGCCACGAAGTTGAAGGGGATGAAGCCTTCCTGGCCCGTGGTCAGGGACTGAGCCTTCCACCACTCGCCGTTCCTGCACCACAGCGGTGGTCAGCGCGGCCTGCTCAGCCCTCGACTGAGCAGGAGACCCTTCCTCTGAGTCCACAGTTCCACCAGGTCTCCCTCCCCGCAGCTCAGCACTCTAGAGCTTCCCATTTGTTCCACGGGCGCCCACCCCAAGCCAGTCAGAATCGCAGGGTGACTGGAGGTACGGGGTAACTCTGGGGTTGGGGGTCTCAGCCCAGGAGCCCCCCTCCCTCACAGACCCCGCCAGGACTGTGGTGGATGGGATTGAAAAAGCACTCAACTGCTCCAAGATGCGGAGCTGTTCGCCCTTCTGGAAGCCCAGGTCTCCGTCGTGAGAGGGCTCGTAGCTGTGCAGGGCGATAACCAGGTTGTCTGTAAAGATAGGGGGCGTTAGGGAGAACCGGCCTAGGGTAGGCTGGGAGCATGGAGGTCGGGAGTTATCGGGCCAGAGACAGGACTTGGGGCAGGAGAGGCAGAACAGGGTAGAGGGTGCGGAGGAGATGGAGGCAGACAGCCAAGGATCCACAGGCCTCATCTTCCAGGCCCTGCTGGTTGGAGTTACCTTGCAGTGGTGAGGCCGGCGGGAGGGAACCCTCGTAGGTGACCAGTGGGTCTCGCACCTCGGAGCCATTTCGTATGGGCAGCTGCGGTGGGGTGGGGGATTAGGGTGGGTTAGAGAGCAAGAGGCTGGGTCTTATCACTAACTTTGTCAACTATTTGCTGTATGACTTTGGGAGAGTACTTCCCCTCTCTGGGCCTCTCTCTTCTGTGTACTAGGGGAGAGGGTCAAATCTCTTATTTCAAGGACCTATAGTGGTGGTCCATTTCTTTATTCTGAGTGTCCCCTGGGCCCTGCACTTCACCCGATTCCCTCACCAAGTCCCCTCTCTGGCCTCTTACCATGGCTTTGCCATCCAGTGGGACTATGGGGTAATGGCAGTTCTCACACACATCGATGTTTTCCATCCAGTCATCTTCAGGATTTGAGCTGCAGCTACAGCCCATGGTACCTGGGGGAATGGAAAGTGGGCTGAAGGGACTCCCCCCAAGACCTGTGTCCCCAATATGAGACATTCTAGGGCCTTGCCCTAGGAATTTCTAAAGGTACCTGAAGTTGTCAACCCACCACTCCCCATTCACCAGCCACAGAAAATCTAACTCCTGATTGATGCTCCCTCAGAGCCCCAGGGCTACAAATAAAGTCACATAAGGCCCTAGGCCCCGCCCTCCCACCTGGGATGGGCAAACTGCCACAAGCACCTTTGTTAGTCTAGTTGCCCACTTCCTGCCTCTCCCCCTTCTCTTTCCCTCTGCCAATCCCCCGTGTTGGGGAACTCCCCCCCAGAGATCTCTCTCTGTCTCACACACACACACACATTTACCCAAGCCCTATGGGAGACCTAAATTTTTATCAGCTCCTCCCCTACCAGAGAGGTGTGCATGTCCCACCTCTTAATTACAATCCCTCTCCAGCCTAGGAAGCTGGGTAAGAGACTCCTGTCCCCAAAGGTCAGGCGTTAGGGCCCTCCCCCATACACAAAGCCTCCTTCAGAGGGTTTCTTCCAACAGGGTCTTCACTCTCCCCAGCATAAACCCTTCAGTGGCCCTGGTGGCCATAACTTTTTTGTTAGTCTTAGCAGTACAACCTTTGATTTAGGAAATAATATTGGAGTTATTATTCCCTGTCCTTGAGCATAGAGAATGTGACCCAGCTGCAGCTGGGCTCACAAGGACTCACAAGGACACATCAACTGAGCCCTGAGGTATAAAGCCAATAGCTAAAATAATCTTGGAAAATATCTTTTAGGGAAACTTTCACATAAAACCGATCAAACACAACACAGAAGACTTTTGACTCTCATCTTTCTATTAGCATTTAGTGAATAGAAATTTGTTGGACCAATGAAGACCCTCCAGACTGTTCTTACTGAAACCTGTACCAATGATTGTTAAGAAAGACAATTCAAAATGTAGGATCACAGTTTCTAGCCAATCTGTGAAAAGGTGAAGCTTTCAATGGTTTTGCCCATTTGAAATGTTAATATATACTGATGGCTCTGTAACTGTTCTTTGAACCCAGGCAGACATGGCTGTGTCAGCATGCTTGTCCATTTTCCCATTCTCGCCTATTCTGAAATATTCTTTGGACTCAGGCAGACATGGCTCTAGCAGCATGCTTGCCCGCTTCCCACTTCTGCCCTTTTGAATATATGCCGAATAAAACTTACTTCTTGCTTCACTAAACTTTAGGATGTTTTTCCCCTACAACACCTTATTGTCAGGTGAAATCAGGCAGAACTTGGTAAATAAAGTAGGTAAAAGTAAAATTGTTCTGCCTGAAGCAGAGTGGGGCCTCACTGTGAAGCCCCCAGAGTCCGAGGCACCTTCTTCCCTAGGGCTGCTACCCAGAGTAGTGTGGAAAGCACTAGTCTTCAGACAAAGTCTAATTGACCACGGCACAACATTAAGACCAAATCTACTCCTCAATCTATTCTGCTACACACACACACACACATACATAAACATCCACACACACTCACACACTCGTGTCTGAGCCACTCTTGCCTTTCCTAAACACCCCACACTGTTTTTTTACTCCATGGCTTTACACATGTGGTTTCCCCTGCCTTGGAATACTCTTTTTTGTTCATCTGCTGAACTCTAACTCAGCCTTCAAGGCTAAGCTCAGATATCACCTCCTTTGTGAAGCTTTCCTGATAATCTTTACTCCCCTTTCACTCCTGTTTCCTACGACATTCTGCTCAGGCCACAATCATCAACTTCAACACTGAGTGCCATGATTACTGATTTACGTGTCAGTTCCACCACCTCCCACCATCCCCATGCTTGGGGTTCCTCAAGAGCAGAAGCTGTGCTTTATTTGCCTGAATGCCCCCGGCTCCCAGAACCAGTTGCTATTAATAAATTTTCAGTGATATGAGAAGGGTTAATGCACCAATTCTTTTACATGCAAAAGTCTTAGAAACAAACACGTCTAAGCTTTGATTTTAGATAAATAAACCAAGGCCCATGCTGGGACCAGGTGGGGATGGGAGCAATGGAGGTTTCTGGTTAACAAGAGTCGGAGCACAGGCCCTGGAGTCAGAGAGACCTAAGTTCAAATCCTGGTTCTAACACTGTGTGACCTTGCTAAAATCATTCTTCCAAAGCCCCACATTTCCTCTTCTGTCAAATGGGTATCATCAATCCTTTCTCATAAACTTACATTAATGTTAGCTTAGTTTAGAATTTAGAAAGACTTCCCCACTTTCCACCAGTGCCCATTCTGTCCTACCAACACCCCCTGCTTTGTAGGGTGGAGGAATGGGACTGGTAAATAATCCTCTTTGCTTTAGGCTCATGTTTCTCAGACTGACATACTCCTGACCCCCTATGGGTACCAGATGTCATGGGTGTGCATCGTCCCAGGGTGCCAGTTTTATCTGACTTTATTCATATAGTTAAACAAACATAGACCTATTATGGAGCAAATGCAGAATGACATGGAATTTTAAGCCAAATCAAGAGACCTGAAGGAAAGGAGTGCGTATCTACTCTTCCCCCTGCTGTTAGGGGTCCTTTGTGTGTGTTGGGGAGGGGCGTCATTTGAGAAGCCCTGCTAGGCCAAGTCCACCCATCTGTGGCTGCAAATGGCTTTCTGACTTGCTAATTTTATTGTGGCTGGGAACTAATTAGCAGCAAATGCCTCCAGGAAAGGACTGATAGCAACCCGGAAGCAGCCTAAAAAAGAGTTGAGCTGTCTAGTAAGATAGTGAGCATCCTGTGGTTTGTGATACTGGAAAACCACAAGTTGGTCATTGTGGTAGAGAGAATCCCAACATCAGATGAATTATGGATTTAGATCAATAAAGTCCCTCCCAGGCTTAACATTCTGGGAGGCTTTGGAAAAGGACAAGAGAACAATGGGAAAAGTTTGGGGTCGAGAGGAGGGGATGGACTGGGCCAAGAGCCTGTGGGAGGTCCTGGGGTGCAGCAGTGAGGAGAGGCCTCTAGAAGGGGCAGGAGGAATCCAGGCTGGAGATCAAGGGGCTGGAAGCTGGCACCTGGTCCAGGCTGGGGTCAGGTAGGAAGGGAAAAGGAGCCACAAGGCCTTGGGCTGGGGTCTGAGAGAGCCCGCAGGAGGACCTAGAGCCTGGACAGAGTATGGGCCCACCAGAAAGGACTTCATATCCCTAAGCAGAGTGAGAAAAAGCCAGGTTGTGTTAAATTAAACCAAGAGGAGCTCTGTAACTCTGACCCCTACTGCTTTCTCTATGGCTTATTTTGTGCTCCAGGAGCCCTCCAACCACTGGAAGCAAATCTTGCCTTCTACAATTGTGTGAGCATTAGAGTGAAGGGCCTGGCAGCAAACATGAGACCTCAGAATTTGACAATACCAGAAATTATTATTGTTTAAGGTAACTTTTCTTTTATGGTAAATATATATGTAACAAAACATTTGCCATTTCAGCAATTGTCACAAATATAATCAGGTCAGTGACACTAATTATGTTCATCATGTTGTTCAACCATCACCCATATCTATTCCCAAATTTTCCCATCATCAGAGATGATTTTGGTTGATGGTTCCCAACCTAGTGTTTACATCCTCCCAGAACAAAATAGTGTTGGGTACCTTCAGGGTATTTTAATATTTCAAAAACCTACATGGAAATTGTACTATTACTAGTTATTGTTCCCTTATTGCATATTTAGTTAAGTCTCTAATCAAATTTTGAAATAAAAAAACGAAAAAATTAGTGCCTAAATGAGGTAGTTTATTAGGGAAAATCTTTAAAATCATGAGATCCATATGGGTGGGAGATGGCAAAGGAGTCCTTGTGGGAGAAAGTTTGGGAAGCACTGATGTAATTCACCAGCCTCGTTTTAAAGATGGAAAAGCTGGGGAATCAGAGGTTAAGTGATTTTCCCAACAGCACACTGAGGGGTCTTGGCAGAGGCAAAACTCAAATCAGGCCCCTATATCCCTTATGGACCTCCTTTGGTTTTCACTCCCTGGGAGATCTAAAGAATGTGGGAGATCCTGAGAGATCATAGAGAAAGCAGATGGGGGGCAGGAATACTTAGGGGTCATGGAGAAAGTGGAGGGGTGTCCTGAGAGATCATGCAGAAAGCAGCTGGATGTGGGGACAGGTGTGACAGAGTGGAGTCCGCTCTTCATCCATCAAACACTTGATCATTGTGCTATTAACAAAGACCTTTCTCTCCAAGATAATTTCTCCCTCTATTTAGAATGCATGTTTCTGGGCATATATGTACGTGACTCGGTGAGTCTGTGCATATGGAGACATATGATTTAGTGAGCGTCATGCTTATGTGTGTGCACACCTGTGTGTTTGTATGAATCGTGTGCAGATGGACATATAACAGATTGGGAGTATTTATAGCTTGCACGTATCCCCATATAATTGTGAGGTCATATATGCATTTGCCTGGTTATACAAAATATGGGTTCCATCCTCCTGGTCTTAGCTTGACAAAGACTGCTGGGTAGCCAAAATGATATAACCAGGTTAATAAAAAGAAAGTCAAAGTTAGAGATTAATATAAATTTCTCATTGTCTGAAAAAACAACGGATCCAAGGAATCCCCACAGCTCCCAGAACCAGCAATGAGGGCAGATAGTGGGGTGAATGAAACAGAACATTCTCTTCTCCCCACTCAGGAATCCAAGGTCAAGAGTATAAATTTCATAGATCCTATATCACCTCTGACTGGGGCCTGTAATGTTCTCGGTCAATCTTAAGGTCCATACAGCACTTTGTGCAAACTATAAAAATGTCACCCCTCCCAGGGGCTGCAAACTTAGAGAGTGGAGTGAGGGCTAGATTTTAGTCTCCTCCCTCCCCTTCTGGCCTCTCAACACAATTCCCAACCTGCTCAACACACCCAGTGGGCCTGCTCACATCCTATATGTTGTTGTTGTTAGGTGCTATCGAGTTGATTTTGACTCGTACTGACCTCATGTGACAGAGTAAAACTGCCCCATGGGGTTTTCCTGGCTGCAGTCTCTACGGGAGCAGATCGCCAGGTCTTTCTCCCATGGTACCATGAGGTAGGTTTGAACCGCCAACCTTTCGGTTAGCAGTCAAGCATTTAACCATTTGCAACACCAGGGCTCCTTATATATACTGTATATAATTGGTCAAAAACCCCAGGCTGCAGAAAGCTCTTGGTCTAGGTTTTCTGATCCCAGGGTTGTCTAAGAATCATATCACCATGAGTTCTGATTCTTGACAACTTGTTCACTTTTATCAACTCCACCAACATTATCTTGTTCAGCTGGGCTCAGAATGTGTTTTGTCCCATTGTTTTAAAAAGGGTAATACTTTCCTCCTCCCAAACTATAGACCTAGTCATTTATTGAACATTCCATCTGAAATGTGTGCCAGCTTCTTGCCAGGGTTTCTCAGGCCGATGCTTTACATCAAGAACAGGCCACCTTGTGGCAAAATCTGTCAGGAATAATTTAAAACATACTCTTGGCCTTTGTCTCTGGCCAGGATTTGGTTATTGGCAAAGTTGCATCTGTTCAATGAAGATGCCCACACACAATCTTGTCATAATATAATACTCAAGAATGAGGGTTGGCAGGCATGGTAAATAATTTCTAAAGGGGAAAAGAGGGATGTGTCCTGGGTCCCTCCTTTTTCATGTGTTCCTTTTTGATATAATTGTTGTTAGCTGGCATCAAGTCAATCCCCAACTCATGGTGACCCCACGCACAGTGGGATTGGACCTTTGTGATCCATAAGATTTTCATTGGCTGGTTTTTGGAAGTAGATTGTCAGGCCTTTCTTCCTAGTCCATCTTAATTTGGAAACCCCGTCAAAACCTATGAGGTGCATGAGGCACACTGGCCAGGAATTGAACCTGTGTCTCCAGCATGGAAGGTGAGAATTCTACCACTGAGCCACCACTGCCCCCTTTTTATATAACAGCACTTTTGAATTAACTTTGTGACCTCCTGCAACAGAGAACAGAAAGATAAGTCTTCTCTTAACATGCAAACAAATGAATTTATTATCACAATCTGGGAGTGACCTGCACACAGAACTGATGGTGCTAGTTAATTATTGCCGTAAAGAAGTGCTCTACTTCTGTTAAGGGTGATGGAAAAATTTGGAAATGAATAGTGGTGATGGTTGAACTCACTGAATTGTACATGTTAAAAATGTTAAAGTGGCAAATGTTTTGTTACATGTATATTTACCACAATTTTAAAAAGAAGAAGAGGAAGAAAAGCTATAGCGCAATTACTCTAAGTTAAAGCTGGTATTTTTGGTAGAGGTCCCCCAGTTAGTAAACTGTATGCACCTAGTAATTCCTTTTAGTGAGTTTTCTCCTGCAGTGCAATGGATCATTTTTGTGTGGCGTTTCTAGCCATGGTCTTGTAACTTCTCTTTCCCGCTGACCTTCTACTTTACCAAGGAAACTAATACACCAGCCTTAAACATTTTCCAGAGTAAAATGATCAACTATTTTCATTTTCCTCATGATTTTTACCACTGCCACAGAGCGCCTTTTCACCTTTAATATATACATGTAAAAAGGAAAGTTTAAAGTGGTAACTTTGGTGAAGGGTAAGACAGTACACAGTACTGGGGAAGCCAGCACAACTTGTACAAGGAAAGGTCATGGAAGCTCCATAGACACATCCGAACTCCCTGAGGGAATGAATTGCTGGGCGGAGGGCTGTGGGGACCATGGTCTCGGGAAACATCTAGCTCAATTGCCATAACACAGTTTATAAAGACAATGTTCTACATTCTACCTTGGTGAGTAG